GTGTGTGTGTGTGTGTGTGTGTGTGTGTGTGTGTGTGTGTGTGTGTGTGTGTAAGAAAAAAAAAAAAAAGTTGTTTATTCTGGAGTGACTTCTCCAGATTTATCCGCCCGGGGCTAAAGGAGGAAGAGAGAGAAGCCGCTCAGGTGCCCTTTCACTAAGGCAGCCCCCGGGCCCCCCCGTGGTGGGTCACCCCTTGACTGTCCGGCCGCTCGCAGAGCCCCCCCGGCTGGCTCCTGCCCCGCGCCCCGGCGCCCTCGGCTGCCAGCGGGGAAAACCAGCGGGGCGGCCCTGAACACCTTCCCCGCACAGGGCAGGGTGTCCTGGGGCCAGGGGTGCGGGGGGGATAAACGGCCTCCCAGCCGCCTGGCAGAGGGAGTATCTGAGCCTGTGCCCCGTCTGAGGAGGACTCGGCTCCGTGCGACAGGCTCTGATACATTTGACTTTGTTAACGTTTCTAAGGGGTCAAAGACCCAGATGTTTGTTCCTGCGCAGCAAGGAGGACCCTGGCGTCCTTTCCTCAGTCCAGGTGCAGATGTTGACTGTCTTTGTTTACACCGCCGCGTTCACTTTTTTCTCCCTTGACTTCCACTTGATAACATCTCACCATCACAGTTTTCAATGGGAAAATTCATATTCTAAAGTACAGCCCAATGTAATAAGGGTGTCTGATTCAGGTTTACTACCAGATATGACGGAAAAGGATCAGATTATTTTTCTTTCCCTTGTGTGGAAGGCTACCTGGGGCTACTTGCAATCCCGTAGCAGGAAGATGAATTGCAGTTAATGAAACCGCTCAGAGGGTAAATTATTTACCCAAATCAGTAAGAATAGCAGAATCTCGCCCATGGATGGAGAACTGCAGAATAATTCAATAGACTTACTTTAATGTGCATCTTGTGTAAGTTGCTCTGGTGCACATTCAGTTAGTAAATTTATTTAAGGTTAAAAAGGGAAATTTCACTGTTGGAGAGCTGGGTTCAGGGATAGATGTCCTGTACCATCATGTCTGGTGTAATGAAAAATATCTCCCTGTAGAAGTCATTAAAAAGACATGTCTATTGACATGATCGAACTTTACCTCTCAGAACAGCGAGGGGAAGAGCACAGTTGCAGCAAACTTGCTGCTATCCACACCTTTTTCATGGTCCATACAGTTCTCTCCTGCATGGCAGAGCAGAGCTTGGAATACAGCTTCTAAGTAGATGACTATGTCAGAAAAGAAAATGGAAAGAGAAAAATATTGCTGAAAGTACTATAGCTTTCTAGAGACTGGCACTGGGGAGGGGAATGCAAGAAGAGCAAAACCACTCTCACCCCAAAGAATCTCAGAAGCAGAATCATTATCACTAGCCACATCTTCTATTGTCGGTGTGTTTTTCTTATTTCTCGGTCTGACACCAAGTACTTTCAGAAGCTGTCTCTGACTAGTTTTGGGTGTTCATTTGGAAATTCCTAGGACAATAACTGGGGAAGGGCAAGAGGGAGAGCTGCTTTGCCGTTCCTCTGTAGGCGGCTTGAACACAGCCAACCATCACCAGCTGCTGCTGCTGCCACCTAGGAGGAAAAAATGAAGATCTGCCATACCGATGTCTGGGACAATCCTGAGACGGGGAGAGATGCGTCCCACATTGAAGAGGGACGCAGATGGTGAGAGAAACAGAGTATTTCCCTACCACTTGGTCCTAAGCTGTCTGGGTAATATAATAGTTCGGGCACTACCAAAGCGTTATTTTCTTAAAGTGTGGACCTTGACTTCTCTGTGTGTCAGCATTCCCCGAAGGATGTTATGTATTATTATTTTATGTCCATGAAATTCTGTATATATATATTATAAATGGAAACGGTTGTTGAAAGGGCCACTCCTGTCCCCATTTTCACCCCAGCCATATTCCTCCACTGCTTCCTTGAATGTTGGATAAGGGTAGTTAGCACTGCAGGCAGCACCTGTAGGTTTCTGAGTGCACTTTTTATTTCCTCCCAAGGTACCAGTTAAAATTCACTGGATTTTGGGATGTATAAGGAGCCCACATCCTTCCCTTTGGTTTGGGAGCAGCTGGTACACATAGCAATTTTTCTACCTTTAACATACAGGTGTCTGCTGCTTTCAAATTATGGAATGAGAAGAAATCGACTAAGAAAAAATATTTTAAAATATAGTTTTAATAAAGTTTTAAATAGTTTTAATAAAAAATAAAAGTACAAGGTGAAAGGAATCTAATGAAGCAAATGCAAGTTGTGTGACACTCACACTAGATTGTTTGCCAGTTTGATGTTATGGTAAATCCCACAGGAGACATTTTCAAGGAATAAAGCCCTGTCTTCCCAAAAGATTTCAGTATAGTGTTCAGACAAGGGATAGGGTTTCTATCTAGTTGTTCGGTCTCTGAACTTTCAGGGATCCCACTGACTTCAGTGGGAGTGGAAAGCTGGACAAATCTGGTAAAAATGTATACGTGTGTGGACACATACCTTCATGTATGCACCTGTATACATGCACACATATACAGAGACATCTTCAGAACAGATGAAGAATTGACCCATAAAATTTGGATTCAGTAAAAAATAAAAGCCTAGGTTTTTTAGGATCAGGGGGTTCGGCCCCTAATAATGTCTTGCTAGCTGAAAAATTCAAATTTAGTTTTAGACTTCTCTAAACTTCAAGGTTCTTCAGACTGTTAGTTCAGAGTTAATTCTAGTCCATCCTCTGTAAAATATGTATCTAGGTGTCTCTCTGTTCCATAGCAATTTTCCTTTGAAAAAAAACCTCTGCATCAGAGAAACTTTGATTCCTGTATATATTAAAATATAACTATTTCACATTGCATTCCTGTCTTCCTAAAGGAAGCTATATTCCTATTTTCATTTTAAGTGAGAATTAAGATTGATGGAAAATAATTAGTGAAACCTGAATTAAAGCAAGCAACATCAGTGGCAGTAAAAATAAGCCTGGACTAACTCTGTTAGTTCCTACCCAATTAAATTGCTTCAGCATCTGAATTACTGTTTAGAACATGATGACAGCATCAGGTTGTCTCCTCTTCATCTCTGCGCTGGGCACATCACGTCATTGCGCATCACTGGTGACAGTTTGGAGCTGGAATAAGCGCAAGCATCGGTGGTCAGGAGCGAGATGCCTTGGCACAGGCAGGTGGAGGAGCTCGGCATGGTGTCCACCTCTGCTGTCTACCTACGTGTGGGCTTGACAGCTCCTCAGGCCAGAACTGTGAGGAGTCCTCAGCCTGAGGAGCTGCTGAGCCCACACATTTCTCATTGACTTCAGATACAAACTGCGTTGCATGGGCTCAAGTTGTACTAGGCTGTTCATTCTTATTTTCCTAATTACTTAATTCGTTATAAGAGTTTAAAAGAAAAAAAAATAAATCAGTCATTAAGAACTACCTTGGCACACAAGCTAATGAAATGTAAAACTAGTTCATTAGGAATTATTGTTCTATTTGATTGATTTCATCACCTTTGTCATTAGGACTAGGTTGTCTCTGGAAATAGGGTACATTTCTGCTAATCTTTCACAGGGCACACATGAATCTCCTATTTTCCTACTAGAGGCTCAGGAAACTTTCAAGTGCTGTTCAAATCTACCTTGAAAATATTTTTTAACATATATATTTCTTTCTGATTTCCTGTGGCAAAATTGAAACACTGAAAACATCACAAGGTTTGACATAGGTTTGAACATGTCCTTTAGGCAGTGAAATTCCCCTGCAGAGTACCGAGACTACCAAAGGAATCCAAATGTATTTTCTCATTTATGTCATTAATCAAAAAGAATATGCTGCAAACTACTCGCGGAAGTTTTATTGCATCAGTGTGCAGCGAGTTTATTGGGTCACATTGCAAACCAGAAGCAGAAAAATGGCACAATATAAAATACAGATTATAGCTTTGTGGACAAGGGAAAAGCCTAGAGTAATTCACTGATTTAAACAAGAGAAAGTGTTTAGAGAGAAAAAGCTTTCCCACGTATATGTGTGTGTGTATATATATATATATATATAAAGAATTTGTAATATATTTTGTCCTCTTTTTACTTGCAGCAGATATTTCTGAGGCTCATGAAAGCCGAAGATATTTATTTTCTTCTTCCCTTTTACCACTTTCTAGATTCCACACTGCAAATTTTAATTGTCCTGCTCTTCTCATATATCCTCTTCCAAATGATCTCTTTATTAACTTCATGCCAACTTTTCCCTCTCATTTGGAAACAGTGTCATCTGGAGAAACCAGTGAGATACCTTGGCATTGACTGTGACAGGTTGCGGTTT